AAGATGGAAAGGGGTTGGGGGCTTGAGGGTATATGAGGGGGGCGGGAGAGAAGGGAGGTGCTCCCCCGGGCTCGTGTTGATGGGTAATCGATCTCCATTGGCTTCTTTGACGGCTCCGGCCGCCGCTTCGGGTGCCAGTGTGACAGGCGCGCGAAAGGCGCGGGAACAAGACGGGGCACGGGGGAACCCCTCCAGCTGTGAGAAGCCGCCTTGCTTTCCTCGGATAGGCAGGGGCTGGGGGGTGTGCCTTGAGGGCGAGTGGGACCGCTTTTGAGGGGAAAGACGAGTCACACACCTGCTGGTCTGGGTTTATTTGTAACCTCGCCGGTGGCGGCTGGGGTTCGTTGTGGCTTTGGGGGGGCGGAGGCACAGGTGGAGGGAGCCAGGATCCAAAAGGGGCATTCCTGGACGCGCGTGCATTCACCGCGGAAGGGAGGGGGGAAGCACAGGTGGGGCCCTGGAAAGAAGCAGGCAGGGTGGATTGGCGGGGGCTGGAGGGAGAGACTGAGCGTGAGGTGAGGCAGTGCCCCATAATGGCATGCTTGCCACCACCGCCCACACTCCTTTCTCTGGCTCTCTTTTTAACGTCCTTTATATATATATTATATCTATTTACAGGCGTTTCCAACCCACAATGTGATTTGGAGCCAGCTCCAAATGAGTAGGCTCTGGGCACTAATGAGGGAACTGGGGTATTTTCAGCTCTGCTGGGAAATTGGTAAATCTTTCTGTTTGCCTACATGGATAATTTCTACTTGTGCCTGTGTTTGTGTACAGAGAGGGGTCACAAGATAGAGAAAATAAATGGCCACACATTCTGGTCACAAATGTTAGGAAGTTGAGAAAAGATAGATTTCTGCTTTAGCTTGAAGCCTAGCCTAAAATCTTGTGAGATCATTGAGATTTGTAATTTAGATGATCCAGATGGAGGGGACCTGCATTGATGTCTTCATAAAGGTTGTATGATGGTAAGGTGTTTTCCACATACAAGGGGAAAACCTTTCCGGGGAAACCTACTTGGTTGTTTCACACACTGTAAGTTCAGGTCTATGATCCTTAGCCCTGATGCTGAATTTGAAGATTACCCAATTTGGTTTGGTTTCCTGACCAAAGCTAGTGCTGGTTTGGTCTCAGTTATGTTTATGGAGTCTGGGGGTGGTAAGTAATTGAACAAAATGTAGGTTCACTAGAGTTCCTGCTTCATTGTAAAGGTTTGGCATGTATTTGCATAGAAAAAGCAAGGTGGAGTGTTTTTTTTCTCTCCTTCAAGCACAGTTTGCAGGTGAATTGCAAATCATTACAGGACCTCTGACTCAGTATGTGGGTCATTTCAAATCCCTTTACAGTGGGTAGAAGCTGCATTAACCCCTCCTCTTCCCATGCTAGGCTTCTTCCAAATTTATCTCCTTCCACTTGTTTTTAATTGTGAGGGAAATTATTGAAGCTCCACAGGGAGAAAACTAAATGGTGGTGGTGGGAACACCTCAGCAAGGGTGTGGAAAGGATTTAGCATTTTCCTTCCACCTGCATATAATCCTTGCTCACTCTCTTAGAGGGGAAAAATGAGTGCAAGCAAAAATGGGTCTGACTGCTGGCATGTCTAGGTTGGGATTTTCTTCTGATACATCATTTCTTATATTTACAAGCTGCTTTGAATAGTAAGGTTTTATAGAAATGTAAGATCCAAAATTGTGAAATAAATGAAATGCAAACATTTTGCTCTAGAAATGGCTTGAATTCATCTGGTTAGATCCAAATAAACTTCATCACACTTAGGCCCCATTGAAATAAAAGGGGAAAGTTATTCCGAGCTAGTTTAAATCCCACTACTGTAATCTCAAAGGGACCTACGCACAAGTCCCTAAATGTAGACCTAATTCATTGGAAAGAGATACATGACGTGGATACTTCAAACATGGCTTTATTTGACAAAGCACCTTCCTCAGGCATTTGTGCACACTAAGTTCTTCTCAGGTTCAACTTGTCATGTTGAGTGACAAAGTTCGAAGGAGGTGGGCTTCAAGTGCTGGTAGCACAGAGTGTTCTCCCATTTCAGCAAACACAAAGAACTTCATTGCTTCTTAGTATGGCTAGATTTAGATTCAGAAGACAGAGCTAATACATCTGTCCTCTTTGCCTGCACAGCTTGGGCCTCCCCGCATTTAGTAAAACACCAGAGGAGGACCAAAGCCAAATTTTTCTGAATGCCATGTATGAATAGTACATGTGGTGGTTCTGCTTTCTACTTAAGATTTGCCTTTCTGTGTAAGAGGAGTGCCTCTGCAAGTGAATTGTGGCTTGAGTTTATAGAAGCATTATCTACATTATTGTGTTCTCTTGGTTGATCTATTTTCTATAAGTGCAATGTATTTGTATAGAAAGGAAAGCTTTTCAAAGATTTGTTATAAGCATATTATACAGATATGCTACACATGTTCAGTTTCGGGGTGGGTCTCCACTATGGGTTCCCATAAAATATTGGTCCTATGCAGGTGTTCCGGGTCTGTGTAAGCTAAAGGTACAATCGGGGTAGTCTAGCTTTTTAAATGCAAGAGGAGGCAATCTCTGTCCATGTGATTTTAAAGCTTGATTATGCATTGTTCAAAACTGAAGATTACACAGGTAGAGAGTCTTCCCATCAGAAAACCGGCTACCACGTGCAGATGGGCACTGTCAACAATGAGAGACATTGCTAGTGTTGTTCCTCTTTTTGCATGTTCATTCTACATAGCATCTGAATTCCTGTGCTGAGCTCAAATTGGTACATTCTATAGTCTCTCTCTAATGCTTTGAATTAAATCAAACCTCTAGCATCTCCTTTACTGGATATGTGTACATATTGATGTGATTCTTACAGGTGATTATTGGATAGTTCCTGTGATGTACAGTACTCCCCACCTGTCTCCCCCTTTTTTCTCTTTTATTCACGTTGTAATATCTAATGTGCAATCATTTTAAATATTTCCTTCGAATTACATTTGTTTAGTTGCATGATATATACATATTGCACATTGACAATATAGATATGTGTGACATGCAGTAGAATCTGTTTCCCCTGCATGGTTTCCACTTTTTTATTTTTTATTTTTTGGTCTTCTTTGGTCTTCCTTCTGCCAA